GGCATACGGATGGCTTTGCCGGACTCTATCGTGGCTTGGGACCGCGCATTCTGAGCAGCGCCAGCTCGGCTCTGTTTTCGGAGAGCTTGGTCCATCTGGTTGGCTGGAAACAGCTGGAGAAGCCGGCACATCCGTTTCGTGAGTACGTCTCGAATATGCTGCGAGACGGGATTATTATTGCCACCGGTTTGGCCATATCGCATCCGTTCTATGTGATCTCGGTGCGCCAAATGGCCCAGTTTGTTGGCCGCGAGGTCGTCTATTCAACAATTCGGGGTAGTGTGCGCGAGATTCTGGCCCAGGACGGGCCGCTCGGCTTCTATGCGGGCTTTGTGCCGCGCCTGCTCAGCGATCTGGGCGTGCTCTTCTGCACCAGCACACTTAGCGCCATCTGCAATCGCGTCTTTATGCTCAAGTCCGATCAGCGCGAGTACAACTCGGCTCTGCTTCAGTTTGGCGCCATCATGCTGCTCTATCCACTTCAGGTTGTCGGCGCCTGCATGGCCTGTTCCGGCTCGGGCGTGGCTGCCGGCGCACCGCCTTTTATGCCCATCTATTGCCAGTGGATGGATTGTCTCACGGATCTGATTGCACGCGGGGATCATTATCGCGGCGCCTTCATCTTTCGCCGCACTTTGCCCAAAATGCAAGCCCAGCGTGTCTACGATCCATATACCGTTTTGCGCATGAATTAAATAACCCGAGTTTTCTGAAATTTCTTTGTTCATTTGTTAAACCATTAAAAATTTGTGTTCCGTTAAATCTATATATATTTTCGTATATATATATGTATTCGTAAATATATATATATATATACATATATATTTTTTCTATATCCTAAATTTATAAATCTTATTATCCACCTCCAATGTTTCATATTCCATTTGTAATCTTCCCTTCATCTTTAATCTTGTTTGCCTTTATATATCTTTACATATATATGTATATATATATATATGTCTAGAAATCTCTATGTTCATCCATATATCTTCGCACAAGAACAATGTCGCCAGATTTAGATGCCCAATTGATCTAGAGGTCAAACCATGAACAAAAAGCACAGCTTTGTGAAAATTGAATCAGATTTGACGAACTTCGATCTTCCATCTTCCAACTTCGAACTTCCAACTTCAAGCTTCCAACTGCCAACTTCCAACTTCCATCTTCCATTTTCCATGTTCCGTCTTCCATCTTTTATCTTCCATTTTTCATCTTTCATCTTCCAACTTCCAACTTCCAATTTCCAACATCCAGCTTCCAACTTCCATCTTCTATCTTATGTTTTATCTTCCCTCTTTCCTTTTTCCCCTTCCATCTTCCATCTTCCGTCTTATTTTTCATCTTTTATCTTTCATCTTCCAACATCCATCGTACAACTTACAAATTCCAACTTCAAACTTCCATCTTCCATCTTTTATCCTCTATCTTTTATCCCTTATCTTTTACCCTTTATCTTTTGTATTTTATCTTTTATCTCTTATCTTTTATCTTCCCTCTTCCATCTTCCCTCTTCCATTTTCTATCTTCTATTTCAAATGCATTTTTTTTTGCATTTGTACTCATGAAACTATAATTATTGCTTTGTATTTGCCTTCATTTAATTTTTGTCAAATTTTTGGATAAATATTCAAGTACATTTTCATGTTTTGCATTTTATGAAAAGCTCAACTGGGCAATGAAAGTAGGTGCCATTGTTTGCTGCAGTTGTTGGTGCTCGGGCAGCTTGTAGTAATTTGAATTATTTAGCTTGACGCAACGAGACACTGGAATTAAGGCACACACACACACACACACACACACACACACACATATTTTGTGGTCTCTATTGGGCGGCCTGTTTTAATTCATAAGCAAGGGAAACGCCTGAGAATGAGTTGGAACGTGTTGAAAATGGGTTTGTTGTTTTTACGTTGCGTTACGTTCTGGCCGTTTTTCTTGGCTGCAACACAAAATGTCAGCAGAGATTAAGCGATTGAAATCTGTTCATGTACAAGATTTTATAAACCAAGCAGAGAGCAACACACAGTGCACACACACAGCGCACACACACAGCGCACACACACACACACACACACACACACACACACACAATGATGCTTAGCTGGCAGCTGCACGTAATGAAAATATCAAAAATCTTTAACGAATTGTGCCGACGGCTTTATGGGGACATTGTGTGAGCATTCCTAGGGGCAGGGGGTGCGGTCAGTTTCGGTGCATTTGAATGCGTGTGTGTGTGTGTGTGTGTGTGTGTGTTGGTCTGGTTCATTTAGGCCAGAGAAATCAAAAGTCAAAAGTTAGTCCGTAGCCCGCAGAGACTTGAGCTCTTGAAATAAACGACTAGTTATTACATGTGGGTCTGTGTATGTCTGGATGGTTGTGGGTGTGTGTGTGTGTGGGTGTGTGTGTGTGTGTGGGTATGTGTGGGTGTGTGTGCCTGCTAGGTGTGCCATGCATATGCACATGATGACAATGGCAATGACAGTGGCTGGCCACACTGGTCACCCAAAACAAGTCAAATTGCACCAGGCAGAAAGTTAACGACTAGATGATACCCTACTTACAGCTCTAAATTGTATAAATACCTGGGTAGGGAAAAGGTATCCGATTCAAGAATCATCTATATGCCCAATTTCCTGATCTTAGCTATGAATGTTTTCGAGCTACGCTCAAATTATCCATATCGATATTTATCGATTTTCGATTAAATGAGCACTTGATTTGTGAATGCCAAAGAGCAAGCCAAATGATGCCTTTATCGCTTTTACGCTTTGATATCTGCCCAAAGAGACAAGTCTACATATCGATATTTATCGCGCTGGCAAAAGTTATCGATCAGCAATCGATCGGCAATGTACATTTGGGTAGCCAAAAGTAAATACGGCAGTTTCTGCCTATCACACGCACATGTGCTCAAGCTCAACATGCCCATTTCCATGAATCTTCCATGAGTACAGGGTACACGCTGGGTCGTACAGACTTAATAGCCAAAAAATGCAATCAGCAACTATGTGACCAGAGTCGACTGACCAACTGGAACCAGCTAGAGTCACACTCGCTGCGGACAGCCCTGTGACATGCACGCACGCATGCAGCATCATCATCAAGCCTCTTCCTGTATACCCTTTCCCCATGCGTATGCACCGCACCCTTTGCTCGATATTCTTGTCTTGTCTTGTCTTTCTTGCTGTTGTTTCGTTCTGGAAAATGCAATTAGGCTAACGATGCAACACAATTTTGTATTTAACTACAACGAGTGTGAGAGCGAGATGGCTGCAATTCAGGGCGCAAAACCCTCTTCCCCGCTGCAGGCATGCAGCTTGGTCATATTAGTTGCGAGGTGCGCCACAAGTCTTTGCCAAGCTCTCAGATCCTCCACGGTCAGTTGGCAAACATTTTCTGCATTCCTTGACTTCCATGGTCATATTATTCACATAACAGTTTTCCATTCATTTTATTTGTCCCCCATGTTCACTTTATGGTCTCTCGTGGTATTGGCTTTGATTGACTGATTGATGGGCAAGTTAACGTCCTCCATATTCACTTGGCTAGAGAGAAACATGCTCTGTTCAATCTTTTTTAACTCTTTGGAACATGCATCTGCTAATAATAATTTATTAATATATATTGTATGTACTAAAATGAACTTGATTGATGATTGACTGATTGACGGGTTACTTTATGTCCTCCATGTTAGCTTGGCCAGAGAGAAAATGAACCATTGAAAGTCTTCTTCTTTCTTCTGCTTTTTTGCAACATATATAAGAAAGTTAATGCTAGTTAATAAGTTCTGTATTTAGTAAGATGTTTTGATTGACTGATTGATGGGCAACGCACAGCCCATACCGTAAGCCCTAAAATGTCGCATCTTTCACAAAATTGCATACTAGGACTGGGTTTTGAAAGAAATTGCAACCGCAAGTGTGGAAAGTTGCTGAAAAATTGTTGAAACCGATGATTTACTGAGTAAATATACAGAAAAGGGCCGCGCAAAGCCGCGTAATGTATGCGTTTCTTATTATAAGTTATCAAATGTACTGTGATTTTTTAAAACTTTCCTCGCACAAAACACAAGCACAAGTATTTTCTATAACGCTTTAAACTTGAACTTATGGGCATATCATGTGTTTAACATTATGTGTGTCTTTCTGTGAGTGTGCGTGCCGGAAATGTCGAACAAATGATGCACTCTCTGCCTATTGAATTAACTCGAGCTGTCAAGACATCGAGCCGGCCGGTTCAGCAAGTTTTGTGTCCAGGCATTATAATTATGCTGTGCGTGTGTTGTCTGTGCTCTGCAATGACTGAGTTAATTCCCATCAAATTATGAATTATTATTGCAACTCAATCTAATTAAACAACAAATACCTCAAAATTTAACAACGTTTACAGCTCCTGTCTTTGACCAACAGCTTACTCATATATCATAATTAAAATTTGCCAGCCAAAAGCAACTCTCTGCATGTGCTCTGAAAAAAAGTCAACATATTATAATTAATCATGTGTAGTTACATCAAACCGATTCGCAACAATTTCTCTGCCATTTCGCCTTCTGATGGTAGACAGAAAACACATGAATGATTCTTGAAATCAGTTTCAATCTCTTCAATTATTTATCTATATATAACTGATTGATTGACTACCTTAGTGACAATTTGTTTACTGTGCACACTAAGACATGATTTGTCGCAATTCTCTTAGATTTCTCTGCCATTTCGCCTTCTGACGGTAGACAGAAAATATGTGAATGTGAATCTCAATCTAATGCACTTTTTATCTCTATATGGAAAACTGATTGACTGATTGACTGACTGATAGATTGACAACCTTACCGACTCAAGTTACGTTTAGACGTGTTTCGTCGCAATTCCACTCAAATATACTGAAGACGTTACAGATATATACTCGAAATCCTTAGGTTGGCCATGTTAATAGAATTTGATTCTGTACAGCCAGGGCAGGCCTTGAAATCGACATAAATGTGAATGAGCCCAGGCGAAAGGCAAACAGATTCATTCCAGTTGGAGCTCCACTGGAGCCAACAGCTCTAGTTTTCTAAATTGTTGTATAAATTTCAAAATTTGTTCTGCTTTTTCTCTTTGTTTATTTCTGTTGAGAGAAACAAATAAAATCAAAAAGTGCAAAAATTCAATTTGTTTCAAAGTTTCTCTTCAATCAATGTGAAATTTTCAAAAAGTGTTGCAAAATTACGTTCAGAAGCGGTTTGTGTGTTCGTGTGAATGGGTGTGAACACAATGATGGTGAGTACCCAAAAAGGGATTCTCATGAACCCATCAAGGATTTTTCATCCCCCCCTCCTTATTCTCCAGTTGTCACAGATGCTCTTTGTACACGGCGCAAAATTTTAAATGCTCAAACAGAAGTCCAGATCAAAAGTTTTACGCGTTTCTATTTATTTCTAACAACCAAATAATCGTATTTCGTAACCAAGAAGGGTGAGTCAGAAAACCAAAGATCCTCTTCAGATATATATATTTAAGATCTCACCCGCAGGATTTGTTGTGATTGTTTATTTCACAATTCTTAACTTTCAATGTATATTCGCCCAGAGAATCGGAAACTCTCGGAATTGATTGCCCAGCCCAAGGGGTAAGTCCATCCAGACAGATCTCTCGAATGACCCCTCCGATTCGTCCCCATTCTCAGCAGGTACTCGTTGTCCTTTACAATTTGCAAGACTCTCAATGTGTGTCACAAGGTATTATACGAGCTCTATCATCATTATCTTATCGCTATAATATGACCTATTGCAGTTATATTCTGATCATTCAATTCAGCAACCAAAAAATAAATGAGAAATTCAAAATTGTAATTTAAAAAGCAATTTTCTAAGCTCGACTTTGAGCTTCTTATAAAGGTAAGCCTTGGATCTGGCCTCTCCTTTGTTTTCCTTACCAATTATCCGCCTTTTCTTCAGGAAAAAATCGTAACAGAAATTAATAAAAAAATAGATGGATCATATCGTAACGGAAGAAGGTAAGGCCAAGCAACTCTCGATGCGGAAGGTTCTACTCGAAATTTAATTTTAACAGCTGGCCTAACTCCTAACTACAAAAAAATAGTCAACCAAAAACTGAATCAAAATTAAATTAAATAAGCATTGCGGCTATAATCATAAAGAAAAATAAAAATAAATATGCGAGTAAAGACAAACAATTACTCTCTCAATGCTGGGTGGGGAAGAGGGGCTAATTGGATGGAAAGGGATAAACCCTTCGTTTAAATGGAAGGAGTCTAGAAAGCAAAGGTTTTGAGTCTGTAAGCCCATGGGGAGAACTGTAAACTAAACAAGCAGTATGGTTCAAACTGAATAATTCACACCTGCTTATGTAGGATTGTAAAATAGGTAGAGCTTTGCACTTTGCCATTTTGTCTATACCATATTCAAGTTCTTAAATGTGCATCAAGATCAAATCGACAACGGACTTAAAATCGAATCATCTCGTAGATAGTCTGAGAAGAAAGCTTGTCAGTGTGTGCAGGGTATCTGCTAGTCGTGTTTTATATTTGTTTTGTTGGTGTTTATGAAATTGGGAACACGTTGAATTCAATGGAAAAAAATAAGTTATGTTAATATTACGCATACGCCGCATAGGCGGGCGACTTCCGCTGATGGCAGCCGCGATGGCGGTTTCAATATTATACGATAAATCCAATTAACAGGGTTTTATGCCACAAACAACACACACAGGCGCACGCACACGGCAGAGGTGTTAATCGACGTCATTTTGATGTAAAACGGGCGTTGAGAATGATATTTTGTATATTTTATGACCGCATATGCGATGCGTAATTAACAGCAACAACAAAAACAACAACAACAACAACAACAATTGTCAGGCAGGTTAATGAGGCATCATTGATTATGCATATAAGTTGCGGTTGGGAGTGCGTGTGTGTGTAGAGTTTCATTCGCTTTTCACACATCAAATTAAATTGTTACATATGCTAATGAAATCAACCAAAATTATGAGCAATTATGAATAGCTTAATGGGATTTACTAAAGCCACACTCACACTCACACACTAAAATTATGTGCGTGTGTCTTTAAAGCCAAGACTTCTGCTTAAAGTCACAAGTCGTTGTTTCTTAGTCGGCGGTGATCGACTGATCTGATACCCTAAACACAGCGTTCAGCTGGCGCTGCTATATACACACGAAGTTCTTATTTTTCCTGCTTCACAATAATGGAAAAGGTGTTGTTTTTGAAACGAAGAAATACTCTTTATATGTATATACTAAAATATAAACTACATAACAAGTTTGAATTAGTTAACTCTCGGAATCTTCGAGCTAGGCTTGAAAAACCTTGTCTCAAAATCGTTATTTTTCGATATTACAATAAAGTGGAGAGTTATAAGCACGTTCTGTTTATCGTATAGACAAATATAAATTCCAAATTTTAAGCTCCAAGTTCTTCAGTGTTCAAGAACGACAAGTTCTCTCAAAGTCGATATTTATCGATATTTATCGATATTACAAAAAGGGGAGATACATCTATTAAAAGCACGTTCTTTTTATCATGTAAACAAAAATAAATTCCAAAATTTAAACTCCAAGTTCTTCAGTCTTCATGAACAAGTTCTCTCAAAATCGATATTTATCGATATTACAAAAAAGGGGAAAAGATATTGATTGGAAATTATGAATGCCTTCGGCGTTTGACATAATGCATTTATGTATCGAATTCCAGGTATGATAATTTCCCAGTTCGTTGGGCGATCAGGAAGCATTCAGAGGCGATGCTGCCCCGTGCCTGTTACATATGCTTGCACAGAAATAAGCTACCCGTTTTGGCGCGTGCTTTTTCAATGGGTTCAGTGTATAAAATGTCAGCCGCCCCTGGCAAGGCAAGGCTGGCCAAGCATGGCTGCCGCAGTCAAAAAACGCAGCCAGGTGTAAATTACAAACTTGCAAGATTTTTGCCTGGCATTTCCGGCGCTCCGTCTCCTTCACCTTCTAAATGTTCTGTTCCCCAGGTTGGTTGTCTCCCGCCTGTGGCTGCGTACAGCTTCTGGGAATGGGCCTACGTTTGGCTTTTGCTTTGCTTCTGGTTGTGTTTCCTCTTGCTTAACTTCACGTAATGCCAACAATTACGCAGCTGAATATTTTATGAGCCAAGCAGATTAATATGAATATTTTATGATCATGTTAGATTCCGTATTTCTTTGTTGGACCGCGCCTCTCTACGTCTGGCTGTGTCTCGCCTCGGCGGCTGTGCCCCCAATTTGAGCCTCTGCCACGCCCCTGACGCCGCTCGCCCCTTGGCCATGTCAGCCTTTGCTTAGCCAAGCCAAACTCAAGGCGAAAGCATGTCCAAAAATATGCTTTATATGCCTTTGCGTTTGAGTGTTTGTTTTTTTTTTCTTTTTTAATTTTTTTTCATTTTTTTATTCGTGCCCTAAAAACAGGCGCCTAAACGTCGGGTATATTCGCTTGGGCGAGAAGTTTGTCAGCGATTGGAAGAGAATTTGACTTGACTGTCAAAATAAAAAGAAAAGCAAAACTTTGTACCTTTGAATCATATTAAGCTTAAACAAACAAGATGAACCTACAACATTTCAATAGGGTTTGAACCGGCGACCTTTCGCTTGCTGGTTCGATGCGGGCTTACAACATTAACTTATATGGCTGCGTTTTTCGTGCTGTCCGGCTAAATTATTTGTTGTGTATCTGGACTTATCTTATCAATTCTTTGACAGCTTTAAGCACACCAAATCTTTTAGGAGACTTCCTTAGCTAACTCTTTCTTGTTCCTGTTCTTAACTCTTCCAAGGGAATCTTTATAGCCAAACTCTTTAAGACTCCAACCACAAAAAAACCTACTCAGTATGCTCTTCAGTAATACGCGCTCAGCAGCTTGTCTCAGACTTAAGTCTAAAGTTGAATTGACTTAAGAGTATTGCAAATTCGTTGCTTACAATTTGAATGAAACGCATTGCCGTTTCGTTGCCCACAGCTTTTTTTGCACCTTTTGGTGAAGTCAAAAATGCTTTTTGCTGCTGGCCAAAAAACACACACACACACACACTTACACCAAAAGAAGTAAGGCCAAAAACGTAGTGACTCGTCTGAGGGGCTGGTCGGAAGGAGAGAAAATGTGGTGAGAACGGAATTTATGACCACGAGCCTTCAAAGGGCCAAGCAGTCTAAATGTTTTGCGCCAGGCAGCGTCTGTCCCAGACATGCCAAATAAAAACTGGGGTCGGTAGGGAACGGTAAGGGGACCAGGGAGGTAGCGCAGCGGTACGTGGGTTGCCTCAGTCAAAGTCAGTAAATAAAAAAAAAGCCAAAGTGAAACAAAAATATTTTCATTTGTTGCGTTGAAAATTTCATGCGCTCCGAGCATGGCAATTATAGTGGGCTCCCTCCCTATCCAACTGGTAGCACCCTCTGGTAGCACCCTCTGTTGGCCGCTAAGCAAACTATGTGAAATAGTCGTAATATGCTCATCATCTCAGCTCGTGCACACTAAAATTCGTCAATAAATGCGCCAGCCACGCCCACGTTACGAGGGTGTGCGGCAGGATGGTAGGGCGGTACGGCTATTGGTACCCTCTGATTTATGCAGTGCCATAAAACAGGCGAGTCGCCTTAAAGCTTACAACAAACAAATGTGAAAAAGTGGCAAAAATTTAAAAAAAAAAAAAAAAAAAAGAAACTAAGATAGATGCCTGAGCAAAAAGAAACATGCCCAAAAGGCACCAAACAGGAGCTGGCCCTACCGGGGCCAGAAATGGCCGGCGACTGCGAGTCTGAGCGCTGCCTGCTGCGTTCTAGGCTCTTCAGGGTCTGAATCCTGAGCCTCGGCCTAGGCTGGGCTGGCTTAGCATGTGTGGCGCCCCAAGTGGCAGCAGCTCAACGTGTTGCCCAACGTGCGCGCCTGTCAAGGCGACGCAGCGAAGCGCATCGAGTTGGCAGCTCCGCCCAGCACTGACAGTGATGCAAAGCGGCGTGGAGTTAGTTGCGAAAAAAAAACCCAATTTAACTAAAAAATGCTTGCACTTTCGCTAAGGCGTCTAAGAAGCTTTAAGGCGAGTTTGGAGTGCGGTTATGTAAAACATTGACTACTGTTAGTGTTAAAGTGACGCTATTAAAGGCAGGCTTAGCACTGCTTAACAGCTGTTAAAGCTATAACTGTTCAGTTTCAGGATTGCGTGTCTCCAGAGTGCCGTTTGAGCTGCCGTGAAGAACGCTAAATAAACTGGGGCTAATTAATAGTTAATTACTGGGTAACAGGTACTGCGGTTAATCCGGGCAGCAACAGAGCCTTAGGCATCATTTCTCGTGAGGTTGACTGCTAGAAGTGAGGAAAGGAAGCGAAGCATGAAAACGATACAAATGAATAAAGTCTTAGATTGTAAAACACTATTTCGCTATTCCCCCCAATTATCGTGTCAACAAGAAAACTTTTTCCAGAAAACTGGGGCAGAGGGTGCAAGAATCAAATCTCTGACTTGTGTATTTATTGAACTTAACAGTTTAGTTAACAGATTGTTAAATTAACATAAATGTTAAGTAACGGCATTTCTTAGCTGTATGCGTTGATTGTTTCTAATTTGTACGTATTTAGGAAAGAAGAAACCAAGCCCTAATTTGTGTATTTATGTAACTTAACAGTCAGTATAACAGACTGTTAAATTAGCATATGTTAAGCAACAGTATGCTTTAAGTGTATTTGTTTTTTATTTATGTGCATTTAGTCTAGGTTGGAATTGTGTTAACTAGCAAAGTGTGCTTAACAGACTGTAAACATTAACAGAATCTTGTTAGTAAAAGCTTGCCACAACTGTTAAGTCTGCCCAATACGCTTATCTTTAATTTGAAGCTTCCATTTCGCATATATATAGTTGCGAAGCTCAAAAATACAACTGATTATCTGAGGTTTTTGCTTTATGCAGCAGCAAGTCACGTAGCTTTCAATGGATTCTCTGGAGTCCTCAGCGTTATAGTGCATCTTTTCTCATATTTTACTCGCGCTCTCTTCTCTCTCTCTGTGTTTTTTTCTTCTCATTCTCTCTCTATTGTATTTGTGTATTTTGGTCTTTTGTGGCGCTCATTATGGACCGGGCGCCTGTTGGCTGGCTG